CCCCCCCCCCCTTATGAAGTCAAGACGCATCGAGTGTGAAGCTGACGATCCAATGGTGGAACCTGGACTGGAGTACGGAGTGGAGCCGAAGTTACCGGCTTGCCTTGCTGTTTGAGTTGGTAACGTGTGAGGACATCGGGGGTTGTGGCCTGAAGTTCCGCACGGGTCAACCAACGGTCAGCCTTATGGCTACAATAAGCAAACAATATTAAGTACTCCGTCAGCTTAATGTCGTAGTGCGCTGCAAAAGGATGTCGCTAACCTCCTGAAAACCGTCCATGGAGGGTGGGTCTTGCCATCGTCGCTTGGGAAAGTCATCACATTCCGCCGAAACGAAAAGAGCCAACTTTGGGCGCCCGAGTCATCACATTCCGCCGAAACGAAAAGAGCCAACTTTGGGCAATGAAGACCGGGTAGACGAGCACGTGGGCGGGCACCTAAATGACAAATGATGGTCCTTTGGATGCGTCACCAGCAGATGCCACAATGCGCCAAGGGGAGGAGCTTGCAAGAGATCTTCTGCTTGAGGCTGAATTCTGCGAAAAGGACCCAAACAAGGTCGCCGACACAGAACGGGCAAGGAGGACGCTAACGATTGGCCTGACGGCTTGTGCGTTGCTGCGTCTTCGGCATCTGGAAGAGTGCCTTGACAAGGAGTTCTAGCATCCGTCGAATCAAAATAAAGTGGTCGTCACGCTCGATCGTCCATGGGATGATAGTGTCCAACAACAATGTGATCGGCGAGCCATGCTCAAACTCAAAGGGCGACATCCCGATAGCCGGATGAATGGACGAGTTGTAAGCCAACTTGAAGTCCGGCAGCCGCTCAACCCAATCCTTTTGGTCGGGACGAACGAAAGTGCGAAGAAGAACCTGTGCGGTTTGATGCGCCCTCTCCGTTTGGCCATCCGTTTGTGGATGGCGAGCCGAACTCGACTTGAGAGATGACACCCATCATTTGATGAGAGCCAACCAAGAGTTGGACCTGAACCGATTGTTGAGGTCGCAAATGATCTCCTTGGGGTAACCCTTGGTGCAAATCCAACGGGCGTAAAGAACCTCGGCCAACTCAGGTGTCTTGGCGTGATAGCGGCAAGGCAAAATAATGGTGAACTTGGTGAGTTGATCAACCTTCGTGAGCATCCACACCAGTCTTGTGCTTGGGAAACAGCCCGATGATGTCCATGGCTGTTGCATACTGTAATGGTGCACACCAGAACAAGAACCGACCTCTCTCACAAAGTACAAGATAGCGTTGCGGAAGACTTAGATACCAATGATCCGAACAATCAATATTGCAATGCAGCCCTGAACATACATCATCATCATCACTCCATGGTGTGAAGGGGCCCGGCGCCTACACAGGAAGAATGCGCCAGTCCCCAACCATACACAGACGAAGAAGATGGGGGTTAGACGAAGAAGAGGGGAAGATGGGAATGTCGTCAACACCAAGTCTTCGGCACAGGCCCAAATAGTCCCTCGTCAAAATGTATGAATCCCAATGTCGAGTCTGGATCCAATGTCGTCAAGTCTCAAGTCACAACTCTCTCTCTCTGTCGTAGTCCGCTGATACTGGGAAGTTAGGTAGTGAGAGGGTGACGAAGAGATGGCGGACTTAGAAGAGGAAGAAGAAGAGCTCTCTCTCTCTCTCTCTCTCTCTCTCTCTCTCTCTCTCTCTCTCTCTCTCTCTCCGATACTAACTTGTGAAATTGGCGCCTTGATGCAGGTACCTTGAAGATGAAGTTGGAGCTATGGCACCACAAGTGAGTCTCCCTGGCGTCCGCCAGCCATCTCTCTCTCTCACCTCCTCTACCTCTACTAGCGCCCAACGCTGAAGACTACTGCTAATGCTACTAGCGCCCTGCGCTGAAGACTACTGCTAGCGCTAAGCTACTCCTGCAGCGCTCCTCCAGAGTGCTGCTGCCGAATCCCGAAGACTACTACTGCCTCGGCCTCTAACTGCCCGTGAAGTGCATGGGAACTCCCTATGTACTACCTCGGCCTGCCTCCTGACTGCCTGCAGCTGCAGGGCGGGGCAGTCCAGGAGGCTGCTCTTGCCAATGCCGAGGTGAGCCAGGGCCTGCCGCTGCAGCTCCTGCTGAGGCTGGCGTGGGAACAGGCCAAAAATAGCCTGTTCCCGAAACCCTGGTTTGGTGCCTGAGTGTTAGGGCAGGTCGATCTTATGAGGGCCCGAAAGTGGCCCTCCGTTTCAGGCTGAAAAGACTCGGGGCCTGAAAGGCCCTCTTTTAGGCTGAAACGACATAGGGCCTGCAGGCCCTTGTTTTTCAGTCTTTCAGGCTGAAACGACACGGGGCCTGTAAGCCCTTGTCTCTAGGCTTTTAGGCTGAGACTGCGGGACAGGCCCTGCAGGCCCGTGTGGCTGCGCAGTATGCCACACCCCCCCCTCCTTGAAAGACCGAGCTTACGTGCGAGGGCGAAGCTGTCTGTCTGAGGGAGGGACCACAGTCCGGGTGGGAGGGGCAGGTCGTGAAGTTCCCTGAGCTAACCTTTGTCGCTCGTAGTGAGCGTAGATGAGCGGTGCGGATGCTTTCAAATCTGTTCCTGAAATCCACCGAGTGTCGTCGGGATCGCATGCTTTGAATGTAACTTTGTACTATCGAGGCTTGCTGCCGTACTTGCGATCCCTGATGACACGGTCAACCTCCTGATGACCATCCATAGATGGAGGATCTTGCGATCTTCGGCCCGAGAAGTCCTCGCTCTTGGTTGGTGTATATGTTGCCAGCTTCGAGGCGTGAAAGACAAGATGGACCGTCAGATGCGGGGGAATGTTGATAAAAAATGAGGGGCCATCGGACTCATCGCCCGCGGCCGATGTTACAGGCCATGGTCCAAACCACTTGGGAAGCAGTTTGCGTGAAACATCCTGTTCAAGTGCAAACTCTTCCGCGGAGACCCACACCAGATCACCGGCGCGGATGGGACATGGCACGCAATGCCTGTTGGCTTGCTGCTGCATGCGGACTTGAGCCTTTTGCATGTTCGTGCGGGCTTGAGCCAACAATTCCCTGTACTTCCGAACGAAAGCGGGGGAGCAAGCAGCATCTATGTCGGCTGTTCGTGGGAGGAGAAGATCAGCAAAGATACGGCCTTTCCGGCCACCGTGGTGCAACTCAAATGGAGTTACGCCGCTCGCCAGATGCAACGAAGTGTTGTAGGCGAACTCGATCTCGGGGAGGCGGTCAACCCAATCCTTCTGATCCGGACGGATGAGCGTACGAAGCATCATTTGAGCGGTTTCATGTGCCCGCTCCGTTTGCCCATCCGTTTGTGGATGTCGAGCCGAACTTGGTTTCATCTTCGTGTTGGATTCCTGCATGAGAGAAGTCCAAAATGCCGACATGAAGCGAGTGTCGCGGTCGCTGACGATGTCTTCCGGCACGCCATGGCTGCAAATCGAGCTGGTGTGTAGCAGGCGCGCAAGTTCGGGAGCCGTGGTGTAGTACTTGCAAGGAAGAAATCGTGCATACTTACTCAAACGGTCAACGACCGTGAGGATGTCGTTGTGCCCGAGCCGGTCGCAGGAAAACGGACCGGTGGCGTCCATGGCAATGGAGAGGCCAGGTTCCTAAGGGATAGGCATCGGGCGCAACTCGCCGTAGGGATTGCGGTTGCGGGGCTTGCTTCGTCGGCAAACTTCGCAAGAGTCGCAATACATCGGTAATGAGGCCAGGCCATCAGAATCGTTGCCGAAGTCGTGCAATAGTGCGATTGACTCCAAAATGGCCGACGAGTCGAGTCATGGTACTCACCGAGAAAGCAGTCCGAAGACGATGGTCGCGTGGGACACACAATAATCCGGATCGGACTCATAGCCCCGGATGAAGTGTCGCTGGAGTTCCTCATCAAATGCGAAGGCATGATGTGTCATAGCGCAAAGATCGGGTCTTCGCGAGAGTGCATCTGCTGCGCGATTGGAGAGGTCGGGGAGCTGTTTCGGTGTGAAGTCAAATTGGTCGATGAAGTACATCCATCATCCGATCGTGCTGCTCACCGTAGCCTGCGTCTTGTAGTAGGTCAATGGGTTGTTGTCTGTGACCCATGTGAACCTACGACGCCCAAGGAGGAAGTGCCGCCATCGCTTGAGAGCCATCACGAACGCGAGCAGCTCATTCTTCCTTGCAACATCAAGTGAATTGATGGGAGGCACTTTGTGGCTGAAATACTCCACAGGGTGCCAGTCGTCGCCGTTATGTTGTTCCAAGACTGCCCCAATGCCATAGCCGGAAGCGTCGGTTGTCACTCTCGTTGGCAGGGTGGGGTCGTAGATGCTAAGGACGGGTGCCATGAGCATGGCCGTCTTGAGTGCTTGGAATGACCGGCGTGCGTCGTCATCGAATACGAATGGCACCTTTGGCGATTGTAATCTCGTCATAGGTGCGGCAATCCTTGAGTACCCGGTGATGAAACGTTGATAGTAGCCTGCCAACCCCATGAATGAACGAACGTCCGTGGTGTTGGTGGGCTTGGGCCATACGCGGATGGCCTCGATCTTGTCCGCAAGCAGACGGATGCCTAGCGACGTCACATAATGTCCCAAGTACTCCAGCTCTTGCCGCGCGAATTGGCATTTGTCACGGTTGGCTTTGTACTTGGCTTGTCGTAGCCGCTCCAAAACGGTGCGCAGGTGCTCCACATGCTCGTCCAAACTCCGACTGTATACCAAGATGTCGTCGAGGTAGATGAGTACGAATCTATCCAGCATGTGTCGGAACTCTGTTGTCATAGCCACTTGGAATGTGGTTGGGGCATTCGTAAGGCCAAAAGGCATAACCAGCCATTCGAAATGCCCATATCGCGTTTTAAACGCGGTCTTGTAGCGGTCCCCCTGCCGGTTCTCGAGTTGGTGATATCCCGATTTGAGATCAAGCTTGGAGAAGAACTTGGCGCCGCCCAGTCGTTCGAGGAGGTCGTCGATGCGCGGAAGAGGGTCAGCGTTCTTGATGGTTTGCGCGTTGAGCACTGCAGCTCCTTGTTCTTCTGATGAAGAGAACGGGAGCTCCGTATGGCGAAGAGCTAGGCTGAATCCAGCCTTTCTCGAGAAGATCATCGAGTTGTGCCCTTAGCACACTTAACTACTCCTCGCTCACGCGGTAGATGCAACTTCGCGAAGGTACGGCCCCGTCCTCGAGGATGATCTCGTGGCGGATGGGCCGATCCGGTACTACTCCGTGCGATGTTTCGATCACGTCTCCGTAGGCATCGAGAAGCTCCGTGATGCGTGGGTCCGGTGGTGAGTCCGTTGATGGAATGTCTTGGGGCGGGAGGGCGTGGAGAAAACACACCCCTATCTCCTCGATGTCATCCCGGATGATGGAAGCTCGAATGCTTGCGGCGGACACCACGTGGCAGCTGATCGAAGGGTGAGCAGGAGGCACCGTACATGGGACTGGTACTCCGTCCCGATCACGAACGTGAACGGTGCAGCAGTAGAAGTTCATCGGGTGATCCTCGCTTCGTAGCCATGACATGCCCAAGATCATGTCGAACTTGGTGTCCAAAATATCGAAGGACACGACCTCGCTTGCATGCAGGGCAAAGTACACGGGGACGACATCAATGCACCGATCGATTGACTTTTGCGTGTGACCGTCGGCCAACGTGACTTGCGGGGGCTGCAACTTCCTTCGAACGCGTGGCCCAAGGCCAGCGCGTACCATAAAGTCTTGGCTCATGTAGTTGCGAGTAGCTCCGCAATCGAGCAAAGCGTTGCAGGTCGCCTCTCCGATCTGGATGTGTATGTACAACAATGGCGCGTCGATGTCGTCGTACCATTGTGTCTTGAACACGCGGTCGATCTTCGCAATGTAGGCGTGGAGGTCGACAATCTCTACTCCGGCGTCCATCAACGGAGTTGGTACTGCAGTGTGCAAGTAATCCCGCAATTGTGCCATGAGCACGTTGCAATGCCGTTTCGGCAATCGACCGGACGGTGGAAGGGGCATCCATTGGAAGTCCGCAAACGTCAACGGGTCGAGCTCTTCAAGTCTTGACCATGTCGTCGAATCCCCGACAATAGATGACGGCGAAGTTGTCGAATCGGTTGCCGATGGTAGTGGAACCGTGCATGTGGTGGATTGTTGCAAGTGGAGTGGTTGGTCCAACGGTGGGACCAAGTGGACAGCATAATCCTCGTAAGTAAACCGAGGACTTGCGACATTCGCATCCTCCCCAGATGTGTAGGAGGCCGCTAGCAAGGGGGCCGAATCTGGCGGAGTGAAGGGTGGAGTCGCCTCACCTCTCGCGCAACTCAGTTTCTCGAGTTGATGCGAGGCCGAACATCCTCCTTGCCTTGATCCGGGCATTGGGAGGTCTTGTGCTTGGTGCTGTTGCACCAATAGCAGCAGCCATACCGGCCGTGCCACTTGTATTCGGCCTCGGTCAAGTTAAACTTGACCCATGGTGCTGGCTTTCCGTTTCCGACCGGTGATGCGGTTTTCGCCTTCCCTTTTCCTCAGGAGTTGTTGCTTCGCGGCTGGACAACAGCCACCTGATCTCCCTCACGTGATGCTTGGGTGGCTGCCGGGTCTTCCACAATGTTGTCTGTGTGGACTGCAGCAACATGCTGCGGACGCGGACCAAAATTTCCTTTCTCCACATAGGTTGGCTGCCATGCCGACTTCTCGTGTGCAGCTGCCCTATTGGTCTTGATGATCTCCCTTGCCTTGTCAATGACTTCGGCGAAGGTCGCGTATTGCTCTCGATCACCAAGTGCAAGGCTCAAGGCGGCACATGACCGGTTGTAGAACTCCCGGTGCAGATGCGAAAATGGCAATTCGAGATCGGGTGTCGCCGCGATCTTTTGCCATTCTGTGAGCCAGTCACGTGGCCTTGCGTCATATCGAAGAGGCGGTTGATGACGAGCGTCGGGGCGTCGTCCACGATGAACCGCTTCTTCCATAGCTTCGTTAGATCTGCCCAAGGAATCTTCGTGTGCAGATCGGCGACGTCGACGCCGTGGATGGTTGCCAATTGGCTAAGCCAGATCTGGCATCCGCCCTTTGAGTTCAGGAACAACGCGCCGATATACGAGTGCTCGAGGACAAAAAGAATCCGAAGTTCCGTCGTAAAGCCCTCTCACCAGGGGACCGGGTCTTGATGCGTATAATCATCGAACTTTTCGATGCGGAATGTCGGCATCTTGTAGTGCTGCGTGGTGTTGCCATCCGTGTTGGGCAGCTGGTGCAGTTGCTGATCCTCGGTCTTCAAGGTGTCCAACTGCTTGTTGATGGTGGCTGGTGCAACGAAGGTGCTGATGTCGCCGAGCATTGCAACGACGTGGTCAACTTGTTCCTCCAATTGGCGGGTAGAGGGTGCACTGCTGGACTCACCAACATCTGGTCTTGGTGCAGATTGCTCCCAAGTCCTATACACTGGAATCAAGTGCCCGTGTAGCATCCTCGTGCAGATCCTTGTGGTTCCGCACCGCCCGTCGGAGATTCGCCAGCTCGGATTGCAGGTGGTTACAAGTGTAAACCAATCGGGTCACGAGTTTGGCCAGGAACTCCTTGTGCTGCTCTTCCGGTGTCGCGTCGTCGTGCTTCTCAGATGGTTCAAAATGCCAAAACTTGAGCTTTTCGATGCTGGTGGCTTCATGCCGCTGTAACAAATCCTGGGCCTCCTTGCAGCGTGTCTGGGTATGTGCTTCGGCTTCGGCTTGAAGCCGCTGCTTTTCAACTGTTGTCGCCGCTTCAGCTTGTAGGCGGGCAGCCTCGGCTGCCGCTTGACGCTGTTCCTCAGCCGCGATCAATGCGAGCTGAGCTTCGAAACGCTGTCGGTACTCGGCAATGGACTCATTGGCCAATTGGCCTGGCATGCCCAGAACTGAGCCCGTTATGGTGGCGGGGCACTGTTGACGTGGCACTGTGGCATTGTTGACGTGGTACTGCTCACGTGGCACTGTTGCTGACGTGGCACTGTTGACGTGGCACTGTTGCTGACGTGGCCATTGTCGCAACGGGCCTGGGTGCAGACACTTCGACCCAACGTGAAGCTATACGTCACATGAACCTCCCAGTCAAGCAGACAACACGTCAGGCCGCGTTCCATATAGGAAAGGGCCAGGCCACGAGTGAAGCATTAGGGCACTACGTACATTGCAACAATGCTGCCATTTTGCACGTTGTTTACCTTCTGGTCGAGGGTATGAAGAGCTTGCACGAGAGCAGGTGGTGGGGGGTGTTTGCCATAGCCCAACGTTCCATAGTTGGGCTGGGGCTACGGGAAGCCAATGGAGGTGGTGGTCGTCTTCGTGGTCAATGTGGTTGTGTGGGTGAAGTCAAGGATGGGCATTGAGAGAGCGAGCAGGAGATAAATGTGAGAGCACGTACCTCGTACTGGCGAAGGTCTACATGGTCGACATTTGTACGTGCTTTGGCTGTTGTTGTTGTCGTCAATTGGTTGCTTCGTCATTTTTGTAGGCTAGCATAGTAGTTGTAAGATCGTAGTCTGGGCGTTGAGTGCCAATAGGAGGAAGAGCTTCAATTACATTACTGATTGTGGCGAGAGAGGGCTTTCATTGACAATTAAGTTCGCTGCTTTGATTCTCCCTCGATGTGATCATATCTAGCTCTCAATATGATGTTGCAATCTGGACTCTGTCAATTCGCTATTGCTCATTTTCCTTGCACTTTTTTTGTTACTTGCTAATGTTCTGCAATTTTCTAGAAGAATGATGGCGCCAACCATGTAGATTTGAGTTATAACGGCACAACTACAGAAAGAGTGAGTGGTAGACTAGGTTTGTTAGAGTTGTTACGATCCTGGTCATTTCCCACGTGCAAATTCACAATGAAAGACAACGCCACCCAATTGCGAAAGAAATGAAAGCACTTGCAAAGAGATAAAGACCAGAGGAGAGGTAAAGAAGAAGACGAAGAAGAAGAAGAAGAAGAAGTACACCAGCAAGACCAATGACAATTCCCCCTTCTCTCTCCACCTTCCTCCTCCTCCTCTTCACCAATCTTATTCTTCTCTCAATAATAATAATAACAATGAATGGATGAACCAGAATCAATATCCGAAGTTCCCTCTTACTGCTGACTCGACGCAACAACAACAACAACAACCAGTCCACCATAGCTATGGCTTCCCTCCTTCAACCTCCTCTCTCATGCATAGGCTATGGCGGACTACTCCAAGCAGCTAGGGTGCTGCGCTGATGTCCAAAGGACAACCCCAACAGCTATGCCGCTGCTGACTTGGTCCGCTATGTCTGACTCTGCCTCGAGCTTCCCTGGTGCCGCACTACGCCAACTGGGGCCTTCCAGATGCAGCGCCCAACAAGGTGATGAAGATGGTGTCTGCCATAGACAGGTAAGTGCCCCGCCACTCTCCTACTATGCCCCTTTCTTCTTCCTCCTCAAGCTGGAGTGCTCGCCCTAGCCAGGCTGAGCTCCAGCGRCCCTTCACCTCCAAGCAGCGCTGCACCAGTCCAGCGCTGCGCTCCAGCAGCATGTCGCCAATCCTTGCACACCGCAAATGAGGAAGAGCCTTTCGCTCTTCCTGAAGATATAGTGGCCTACCGGCCTCCTGGGCGGTGACTTTCCAGGCCAAGCGGCCTCCCAGGCAACCGGTACCTCCTCCCTTTTGGAGGGAAACATCATTGCAGGCTCTATTATTGTTCGCACAGGCCCTAGACCCGGGCTACTTGGACTGGTACCGGCCTACCCCCAACCTACCGCTATTGGACCTCTAAAAATGCCAACTTTTTGTCTTCTTCTGCTCGGCCTTCCTGCAACTAGAGTGTTTTCCCCAGCTGCTCTAAGTGTCGTGGGCCTATCTCCCGCTACCGGCGTGTTTTACCCCCCTGCAACCCTCCAGAGTCACGGCCACAGGTAAGTACCGGCCCGGTGGGCCCTGCAACCAACAAGTACCCTTGCGGGTCAAACACACACATACCCCACCGGCAAGCACTCAGACAGGCATGCACGCACACACACACAACCAGCAAGCACTCAGACAGGCATGCAACCAGCAGGCACGCACACACACAGACTTGGAACCACAGCAAAATGCGGGAATCACAACAAGGCATCCATTCCAGTGACAAATCCCAGAAATCGGCAGTGTTCTCAGTCTGTGTTTTTGGCGGGTCATTACAGAGTACAAAAGTTCTCTACATTACAAGGAGTTGAGTGAGTGCTGGGCACTTGTCTACCTAGTAATGTGGTTGGTGATGGTTCGTTAATGAAGATGGTGTCATTGTGTATTGTTGCAGAAATAGCCTACAAGATTGGCCTCACTCTCGCTAGACAACCATTGGTCAATGCCATGGGTCGCCTCAAGCGCATTACATCTTGCTACTGCTACTTGTTATCGCCTTCAATCCATTATCATTATCGATCTTAGGACTATGCATCATTCTCAAATGTTATGCTCTTGCTAGGGTTGGGTTCACCCTCGATTATGACCTAGCTACAACCCAACCCAGCCATAGACTATGCTACGAGTGTGCATGTGCCAATCGACAACGACAGCACGCCATGTTACACCGCGATCACTAAGGCGCGATGAAGAGATGATGTGGTTCTAGAAGTGATCAAGCTGGTGCGGAGCTGACACGACAACAATGCTAGAAGAGGAGGAGATGACCACAAGGGAGTACTAGAGAAAGGTATAAGACTGACATAATGTGTTCCTTACCATCGAGCAGGCAAGCAACTTGCACTTACATCAGAGTGTAACAGGAAGTGGCTGCAATGGAGTAGTGGGAAAACAGTGCACGACATTGCGTTCACCAATGTCGAATAAGAGGCCAGACGCGAACGTGAAGGCTCGACTTGTAAGCTCAACTGGGGAGTAAGGAGGTATGTTACCTGAAAGGCTGAAAGGAGGTCGACGATAAGACGTGTGTATGATGGTCGTTTGCCAAGAGCACCCACGGTTTTATAAACGTGAGAGGGAAGGGAAGGGGAAAGGGAAGAGGGATGTGGTCATGCTATGGTAGGTACTGGATGGACCACCCTACACAGAGAGGGAGCAGTTACTCGCAACCTCCAACAACCCCTCCACTCCCTCCGCCCTCGATGTATATCCGACCAACAACTTTTCTGGCCACACTTCAATCGAGCTTCATCATACTGAAATGGCTATGGATATGGCAGCGGGAAATGGTGTCGTGGAAATTTGAATAGGGCATAGAGTAAGCAGAGGTCCTGGAAAAGCTTAAATTCAAGGAAGCGATACAAGAAGCCATGAAGCAATAGAGAAGCAAGTTGATGTGCAAAAGGAGGTGCAACGGACTTTAGATAGTGGAAGTGGGGAGCAAAATATCATGGACAAGGAGGATCAGATGAAAAACTGGTTTATGCAAACTTTCATGGGGTCACTTGCATTATTCACGCAGAAACTGGACGAGGTGACTCGTAAAATGAAGCTTGTGGAAAAGGAGCAGGAGGGGTTGAGACGACTTTGAGAAGAGAAGGAGATTTTGAAGTCGAAGGGTCGAGCAGTGGAAGAAGGAAGAGGCTGCCTTCTGCACCGAAGACATCTCCTATATCGGACTCACGCGTAGATTTGCGGAAGTAGAAAGTTGTGTGAGACCAAAGACTTACTGAAGCTTGTGACAAGCTTGGGGCAATCCAAGGAGAGCACTCGCACCTCGAAGCACACTATTGTGAAGGGCTTGGGCGAAAAGAAAGGAAGTAACAAGTTGCAGAGGAGCCTTTCCAGGACGTTAAGGACGAACTTGGTTTTTCGGGGTATATGAAAAACAAGATGGAGAACTAGCGGAATGAACAATACACAAATAACGATGGTGTGTAATGAGAAGAGCATCTAGTAAACAACGAAAGGCCTTACGGAGCTGGCTAGACTAGATCTGGAAATGGAAGAGAAGGGAGCAAAGGTCGTGATACCAAAAGAAAAAGTGGTCCCAATAAGGAGGAGCAGGATCTTCAACTAAACCATAGCACCACACTTTAAAGAAAGCGCCATTGATATACAGTTCGCAAAAAGCCTGCAACGTTTAATAGTTCTGTATCGTTGTCTTAGTCGAAAGATCAAGTGCAGAGATTTTAGGAACGGTAGTTAGATATTCAAAGGATGCAATCTTCAATGGTTCTACCTCGTGCAGTGTTTTCCTTATTATCTCACCTTTCTGCAAACTAACCTACGTTGATATGACAAAAAGGGATTGAAACACAAATGAAAGGAGCACATTTACACCAATGAAGGGATGAGCGAGCAGGAAGTTCACAACTGGCCAAGAAGATTTGGTGATCCAAAATACACTCATGCTACGGAAAAATATACTTTGAAAATTCAACCCAAAACTCAACATAAAGGAACCAAGAGGTGCCAACATTGTGGCGCCAATGTCGTGCTTTTGGATTGAAGTGTTGAGAGAGGGGCTGGTGTTTAAAGATACGAGCCAGGTAATTCTATAACATACTACAAAGATAAGAGACAACATTGGTGAATTGAAGTAGATACGAGCCAGGTAATTCTAAAACATACTACAAAGATAAGAAACAACATTGGTGAATTGAAGTCACTAAGCCTTTGTGTCGGTTCTAGCCACAACGCACAACCTTCAATCGCAGCCCTACCTATGGAGGTTGGCGCTGACCTTCTTCAACAATACCAGTGCCCAGGTAAGTTCAGGTAAGCTTCCCAATCGCAGCCCTACCTATGGAGGATGGTGCTGGCCTTCTTCAACAATATCAGTGTCAGGTCAATTAAGGTAAGCTTCTCACTCACTCTCCTTGCAACAATTCGGATATTCCTACTTGCCCGTCGTCCTCCTACAGCTCTGGCGGCAACTGCGAGGTATAATCACTCGATAGCATCTCCTTCTTGGCTTGCTCTCCTCACTCTCACTTGCACCAACCTCTCATCACATGATCCTCACGAGCACCACCCTGAGCGCTTTTAAGCGCAAACGTCCCTTCCATCACCATACAGCCTTCATATA